GGGGGGGGGGTTTGTTAGAAAAGAGGGGGACGGGGGTTGGTTGTCTTTTTGTTTGTGTCTCGCAGCAATATCACTTTTCTTAATTATGGCTTGGAGCAAGAAGAGAACTGGAAAGATCATTCACTCATTGATCCGAAAGTACATAGTTCGAGCTATATATAACCCGTCTACGCAAACTTCGGTATCATCTTCTCCTTAGCCAACTCATCAAACGAGGCCTCCAAGGACTCCCAAGAATCGATATATCCCGTCCATCCATACTTCCGGGCCTTTGACATACTCATCACGACATCGTAGTTGCGGCCCAAGACGAAACCCAGGAATCCCCATGTCGCCTTCTCCAGGACGTCCTTCTCGAGGCCGTCGCGCTCCGCGAGCTTGTTCCACGCCTCCTTGACCTCTTTCTTCTGACTCCACTTCACCAGGTCGATCCGCTGCGTGACTGTGCCCCGTGGCGTTTTGCCCTCCATCCCGTTGGTGCTCGCTACGTCCTCGTACGGCGTCACCTCAGCCAGCTTCAAGATGCTCTGGTCCGGAGTCGGTCTGTCGAACTGCTTACTCGGAATCTTCAAGCCGAACTTCTTGGCCAGCTTCGGCCACATGTTGGCCCAGGACTCGACATCGCCATTGTTGACGTTGAAGCCCTGGTTGGAGCACTTGGGCTCCAGGATGGCCCACAGGCTGAACTCGGCGTGCAGCTTGTTGTACGTGAACGAGTCGAAGCGGTTGTAGAAGCTCTCGGCGCCGGGGAACTCCAGCTCGCCCGTGAGCTCTTTGTTGACGGCGGCGTAGACGGCTAGCGCTGTGCTGAGGTTCATGAAGTTCCCGCGCGCCACGCCCACCACGTCGTTCGGGTATGTGACCACCCAGTCGAAGCCCTGCTTCTTGCCCTCCGCCGCCAGGATCCGCTGCTGCGTGTAGTAGAAGTTGGGTGGGCGCCCGGGGCCCTCGATCCACGGGTCGCTCTCCTCCATGGGGCACTTGACGGGGCCCAGGTGCACGCCGTATTGCTTACCGCCGGTTGGGAGCAGCACGCGCTTCAGCTTGACGCCGTTGAGGGCGAGGGCGTCGAGGAAGTTTTGGAGCATGGCACCTGGTTTTCAAATCAGCCTCAGTTCAGTTCATTCTCCGTGAGGTTCCTGTCCCGTCCGTACCATTGGTGTCCGAATTGCCCTGCTCGCTATCGGTCGCCATGTACGCGGCGAAGAAGAGGTACTCGCCCTCGACATTCTGGGCCTTCAATTGCTTCGCGATCTCCTGGGGGCTGGCCAGCAGATCGACGTGGTCGTGCTTCACGGTCGGAGGGTACTTTTCTGTCTGTTTGCGCGAGAGAGCGTGGATCTTGGTCCATTTGGGGTCCTTGCCCAGGGCGGCGACGATTTCTCGACCGAGGATTCCAGTCGCGCCGGTGACGATGGCGGTAGGCATCTTGATTGATTGTTGTATTGGAGAGAGAGAGGGAGTGAGAGTCAGAGGGAGAGAATGTGAAGAATAAAAATGGGAGAGCGTGAGACTGAGGTTGTTGATAAAGATATTATATCGACTCTCACAGCGAGAGAGAGAGGGAGAGGGGGAGGGGGAGGGGCAGGGTGGACATCATGATGACGTTATATAAATATAGCAATAATGGTGATAAACAAATAAACAAATAAAAACCCCTGAATCCCTCAAAAACTGTACCCTCTGGTAGGATTATTCCCTAGAGCGGACATTATTGCATGGTGAACTGAAGAGACAATTAATCAGCTGGTGGGACTGGACGAGGTGGAAGCGGGTCTGCAGTTCTTACCGCCGCACGGAGGTAAGCACTTCATGTAGAAGATACACATAGGAACATGTACAACAGGATGGGAGGTTAAGAGGTATGTGCATATGTATATGTACATTCAAGTGGTCAAGGTAATAATGGGCATACGCAGTTCTAATAATGAATTAATTACCTTGACGGCAGTTGAAAACCCCGGAAAACTCGGTGCACATGGTATTGTATATATTGACCCACTAACAATACTTCCCAGCCTGCCTACTACTAACCTCCCTATAACAACAGTAATAGAGCCTAAGTATATACCATCAACTTCAACATGTCAGAATGAGGTGTATTGGCAGGATCAGAAATCTCCACCGTCCATTAAGAAGTAAATGCGGATCAACGTCCCTCCTCATAAATACCACTTCCCATTGCCCTCCATATGCTTCTTGGCCTCGTCCCATTTCTCCCTATCAAACAGATAACATGCCTCCTCTCCCTCATTTGTAGCTCTGAGCGTCCCCTCGCCTATGCCCATGGTCCTCATCAAGCTCCGAAATGGCACGTTGACCGCAGAAGTACCCAGACTCATCATCCCACAGCCCAGCTCCTGAAATCCATACTCGACGATGGCGCAGAGCGCTTCGAGCGCATATCCCTTTCTCGCAAACCGGTTGTCGATCATGATGCCCGTATCGCCCACCAACACGCTCTGCGTCTCATCCGCAAGAGAGGGTTGGAGCGGGAAGGAATTGAACCCCGTGTTACCGATCATGATCCCTGTGTCGGTCTTCAATTCCTCGACCGCGTCGTCTCCATCGCCAAGGCTGTTCTTCAGAATGATCACCATCCATGCGTTCTCGCCTTTGGCGGTGGATATCTGCTGGGCTTCGAGCCTTTGAACCTGCACCTCGACGGGGAGATCAGGCTCATTCACACCGCCATAGGGATTGTTGAGTGGATTGCTACGTATGGCTTGGATCTGCTTGGCATCGGATGGAAGACAACTTCGAATAATCAGACGTGGGGTGGTAAATGAATGGAACGGACGAGCGTGGGCCGGGGGAGAAGCGGTCGCCATGATGTGAGTGGATATATTGGTTGGAGTCCAAAGAAACAGGGCAATACTATTTATTAAATTTAGGCGTTCAGATCTTATATAGCCATATATTATACCAGACGAGATGGAGAAAACTCTAATGCTTATTCTCAGCTGTGCGGCGCGAAAGACTCATGTGGTTTAGGCTTTAGACCGTATTAGGTAGGTAGATATGATAAAAAGGATTCGACTCCCCAGGGATGTTCGAAAAGAGATTTTCTGTGCCCATTCAAACTCGCACTGTAAGCTGACTTCTAACAGTGAGTCACACGATAGGTAAGGTAAGGTAAGGTAAGGTAGGGAATATATGACAACACGTGATCTGCATCCCACAGAACCATTTTAAAATGACTTGGGTATGCCTGTGCCCTGGTAACTTCACCAATTGACATCAGCACCCCGTAATTACAAGACTTAAGTGTTCGACTCATAAACTCTAAAAGCATTCATTTTGATATGAGATCTCTCCGACAGGAAGGTACTCATTCTCTAACCCCTGCTCACATTCAACGACGACTCAGCTGGCGGCAGAACTATAGCGAGCAGTACAATTCGAGCATCAGGGCCAGCTGAGCTGCTATGTCTTTATATCAAGTACTACTCCATGGACCCTCTGGAGGTCGGGAGATCTTGAGCGGCGCCATAATCACTCTGACGCACCACAAATCACAGATTAACGGACTGGAAAGGAGCATATATAGATCGATACAACCATTATCGTGTAAACTTCTTCATGGAAATATACCGCAAAGCGTGGTTTTCCCTGGCTCTCATAAAAGCCTCGGAGAAGCAGAGGAAGGAAACTAATCGTCCAGACTTCTGGATCCGATTCGCATTCATAACGAACTTATTATGACTGAGATGCCAAGACTAATGACTGCTATATCGCTCTCATGTGAGCCTCTAGCATACACAGCAAAAGAAGAAAGATGTACGCAGGCGACGAAAACATTCCTGTCACCGCTTGATCGCGGCAGTTGTTGAGTAGTGGGGTTATGGAAGCTCGGCGAGTGGATACGGCATACCAAACAGAAGAACGACTCTTAAAGCCGACAATATCGTGAGGCACGATCGTATCACCGATCCGCATTGTACGTAAAACTGAATAGCCTTATATTTTCGGCCGTGACCCGTCGAAACACTGCCATCAGTGGAAGGGTTGGGATACCTTGATCAAGGTCCTGATTCCTGACTTAAGCCCGAGTGCAATGAAGCAAGGCAGAGAGACAGAAAGGAGAGACAGAAAGACACAGACAGACAGACAGACAGACAGATACAAAAAAAGAAAGAAAGAAAGAAAGATAGATGTCCAGATATGTAAGGTAAGATAGTAAGGTAAGGTGAGAAAGAAGGATCACAGTCTGGACCCAAGGTACTTAAAGGCTCCAGTCACGTGTTGATACCGGAAACCTTCAAATCGCGTCGCGAACCTCATGGATAGTTCCCTTTACTTTCTATTGTCGAATACCAAGCAACCACCGCAGCAGACCTCTCTCTCAAATTACCTTCGCCATGCCCTCATCATCGTCCTCTTCCCATGATGGCGATGATGGCGACGATTCATTCCAACACCATTTTGGCGACGACTCCTCTTCGAGCTCCTCTCCATCACCTCCACCTCCCCAACACAACTTCTTCGCTCCTCCATTCTACAACCGCCCACCGACGCCTCTCCCGCCCTCTCCCTCATTAACCTCCCTCCTCAGACCATCCAGACCAACGACGCCCGACAGCTCTGCCGACGAACTCGAACCCGTCCCTCGTGCGTCGCCCAAAGTGCCCACCTACGAATATTATGGCTTCGTCCTCTACCTCTTCTCCTCGCTCACATTTCTAATTTACCTCTTATGGTCATACCTCCCATCGCCATTCCTCCACGCCCTCGGAATATACTACTATCCCAACCGCTGGTGGTCGCTGGCATTACCGTCTTTCCTTGTCATGTTATTGGTTTATATCTACGTTGCGCTGGCATCATACAATACGGGTTATCTCACGCTGCCACTTTCGAGCATCGAGACTATTATTGATGATGCGGCGAATGTGGCCGTTATTGATAGCAAAGGACGGATGGGCCGATCAAAAAATGGCCCTAGGAGGAGGGAACAACCAGTAGAGACCAGCATTCAGGACTGGAAGGCCGCCTGGAGTCAGGGGACGGATGCCGTGATGGATGTGCCCCTTGGTGGGGTGTGCGAGGTCTTATATGGAGAGGGTAGAGAGCTAGACAACGACGAGGATGAGAATGTGGGGGTTTCATGAAGTCTTGCTGGGTCTTATGATATTTCAATTGAGCCGTTACCATCAACCTCGGGGCATATGAGGACATTTGAACATAGTGTTCGTCAAATACGCCAAGGAAAGGGTAATGCATGCTACTCTACACCTCGTGCTGTATGCATATGCTCGGGTTACAAAATCACACGCACGATGCGCCTCCAGCAATATGGACGGATGACCTCTTATGCCGTCTTCTCAAAAGACCTGCCCGAGTGCCCACGGACGCCGTTGGACATTTACTGCCACTCATACGACCATCTCCTAGGAAAGGACTCTGGGGGGATTTGTAGTCGCTGTTAGTGGTCATGGCGTTCGTGTGGGCCGGGAAAGCGACCGCGAAGCCCCGTCTAGAAGAGAATCTCCCATCTCATCATTTTTCAAGGGCGAATTTGGATTCTCTCGTTGAAAGACATTGTATGGCGGTTTGGTACTTCGTATGGCTTAAAGTCATAGCTCTATCTTGGGAGCTAGTGCTCATTAGTTTGATATACTCAGGATTACGTATGGCGACTTTTATCTTTACACCGCTCGTATTCTATCCTGTGCTCCATGGAGATTCGAGTCTTAGTTTGCTGAAGCTGAAGTCGGTAATGAAATTACATCGACTTTATTATGCTTTTAATGCGGATTTGTCTTCCTTTTGCCACTGATGAATATCCAGCATTTCGTGATTCATGCTAGGACATGCAGCACCTTTTTTCTCTTTTGGGTATTCGTTTATACAGTGCTCAGCAAGGCAATGGCTCAATTGATCAATAGGAAGAACTCGAGAAAGAGTGATATGATTTATAGGAGCCTGATCTGTGTTTTGGTTTCACCCACAAGGTCTTGGAGCTGAGACTGAAAGTCCACGACGAGGTTGAGGCATGCAAATGGCCAGCAACACAGAGACATACGATTCTCGACGAAATCGGAGTTCAAATTCCAACAGACAAATCTATCAAGTACTATATGCAATTCCTGTGCAATCTCCAACGTCGGCATGTAAGACCTTTTTATCAGAGCCGTCCATATTGGCTGAGTAGATACCACCGAGGAGGTCGGTAAAGAACATGCGACCATTTTCCTCGTCGAGAGCCAATCCAATACCTTCGTGCAACTTTCTTGTCAAGATGCGCTTCTCCATATACTTCAACCCTTGTGCACTTTCTACATTTTCGACCTTGGCGCAGTTGACCGTGTTGCCATGTGGAGGATCCCCTCGGTCGGTCCAGTACAGGACCTTGGTTGCCACGTCGATATGGAGGTCGATGGGTTCTGGGAGTTTGTCGAAGAGCAACTCAACATCAGTCCGCGCGTCTGGGCTTTCACCTTTTTGCATAGCAAGAGGGGCGCGAAACACACGTCCCACGTTGCCTTTCGATGACCCTTTCTGTGTCCAATACATCACTCCAGACTCAGTGTCCACGGCGATACCGACACACCATCGAGTCTGGTCTCCTCGGTTTTCTGGAACCGTTCCCGTCTGAATGAGAGTCTCTATGTTCGATCCATCCAAACCGCAGCGCATTACACGCATGCCCTCTCGATCGCACCAGTAAAGTGCTGGGGCACCGTCCTTAGGCCGAGCAATCGTGAGTTGCTTAGGAGTGTGAAGAATGCCGGTGGGAACGATGGTAGTGATGTTCTTGCCGTCCAAGTCGCAACGCTGTATCGACCCATCCCAAGGATTGCTTGTTGCGGCCCCCATGTTGGTCCAATAGATATGTCCCTTCTCGGAGTCGATAGCGATCCCATCTGGAAGGTGTTTCATACCCGTAACTAACTCTTTCAGATCAGAACCGTCGGTTTTGCAAGTCAGGATACGGCCGTTCTGATTTGGGAAGGAGCTCAGATCCAACTCCAGCACGTAGAGGCGGCCATCTCTGGCCGGAATAGTTGAAGGCATTCGGAATGATGCAGAAACAAGGCGTCTTTGAGATTCGAGTGATCCACCTTCAGCAGAAACAAAGAAACCAATCGCTCGGGTACCAAGAGAAGGATCCTGCCAATATATTGCTTCAACAATGCCGTGGACATGACGGACGCCGAGGTTGTCGCATGAAAGCCAGGTCTTATAATATCTCCGGCGCCAGGGCCAGAGACGTACAATCCCCTACTGACATTGCAACGTGCTGTGAAGAGTGGGACCAACAAAATGGCCAATGCCGCATGTCCGATTACCCGTCTGGCCCGGGAAGAGAATTGAAGGGTTTCGTGGAAAGAAGTGAAGTTCGAGAAGAGGGTCTGTTCAGACCTCAAGCAAGGTTGAGGCTGAAACGGCAGACGCGAACCCCTGACCAACCGAGTTAACCGAAGCTCGCGTATTGGCGTGGGGCCGGAGAAAAGTTCGGAGAATTTCACACTGCTCGCTAGGCCCGGACATATTTTGGTATCGCTGCAGATGTTATTCTCCGGCCGTTATCATTTTGGCCAGCTCCCCACAAGACCGGAAAAAGGCCAGACACACAGGGAGAATGACAGGATTCAAGGCCGTTGGTGGATTTCTCTCAGAGTGCCTCGTCAGACGTTCGGCCTCGCGGCAGGATTGAACGCGAGTCGTTACACTATAGCCTACCTGGGTAGGTATCCGAGTGGAAAGATCCGGGATGTAGAGCTTGCGGACAGACAGCTCCTTTTACAAAACCTACTTCATTTGCATCCCATGACGGTCCAAGTTATTGCTGTCCACTATTTCTGCTGCGTTTACTTCAAGCTTCATCCTCTACACTGCTCACTTGGCAACCCAAAGCTTCTCTAAGTCAAAGCTTCTTCAATACAATTTCCTCCTATTTCGACTTACGCGCATACATCTCGACAATACACCAACATACACGATGGCTTCTGCTTGGACTGCTCCGGATGTCACAAAACGACCCGTCGCCATCATTGGCGGAGGCGTCCTTGGCCGTCGTTTATGCATGATGTGGGCTTCTACAGGCAACGAAGTGGTGCTCTATGAGCGGGTTCCCGAGGTTGCTGCTGCCGCAACGGAATATGTCAAGGAGAACATAGATACACAGGTTGAGGTCGTCAAGGGCAAACGTGGGGTGGTACGCGTAGCTTCGTCATTGGAAGACGCCGTTCAAAACGCCTGGATGGTGATCGAAGCCGTCCCAGAGCGCCTCGAGATCAAAATCCCATTGTTCGGCGAATTGGATAAAATCACCCTACCAGACTGCATCTTGGCGACCAATTCATCCTCCTACAAGTCCAGCGAAATGATTGAGAAGGTCGAAAAGAAGTATCGGGTCTGCAATACACATTACTTCATGCCGCCCGTGATGAACCCCGTCGAGATCATGACGTGCGGACACACCGATCCCGCTATCATTCAGCACCTGATGGAAGCGGCGAAGACGGTGGGATTCACTCCAATACATGCGAAGGTCGAGTCTACCGGATTCATTTTCAACCGCATCTGGGCGGCAATGAAGCGCGAGAGTCTGCTGGTCATCAAAGAAGGCGTCGCAACACCTGAGGATATCGACGCCATATTCGTCGCAAACTTCGCGGCCAATACTGGCATCTGCGAACTCATGGACAGGGTTGGTTTAGATACTGTCTACAACATCGAGAAGCACTACGTGGATGAGAGGAAGTTGTCAGGTGCAACGATAGACTGGTTGAAAGAAAACTACCTGGACAAAGGCAACTTGGGAAACAAAACGGGGAAAGGGTTATTGAGAAAATGAGCTGTCATATACAGAAAGTCGTTTTGATATTAGTGCTCAGAAGATTTATTTGAATCAAGTCATTCATTAACTGGTGCCCGTTGAAATTCCCTGCGAGTGACTGTCGGAGCCTACCCCTTTTCAACTGGCGGTGAAATGATAATGTGATAGTAATATGTTCTTTCGTAGCTGCAATGTTCTAGTGTCATCATTATCATAATAGAAAGATGACCCATTTTCACAGTACTCCCAGAAGCCGTCAAAGCTAGAGTTCACTCCACAAACGAACGTCTCCAGTGCATGCAAAATCAACATATCATTCAAATCGTTGTACCTTGCATGATCATCGAGTAATCTAAATTCAATATGCTAATGTTGGCCAAGTTCCTTAGTACCCTAAACAACGTAGATATCAAGAGTCAAATGGAATGGATGTGAGTTAAACTTCCGATCCATTTTTGTTAATACAGACAGATTAACTTGATTGGATTATTAAAGAACGATTAATAGATGAATCTTCTCAGCGTTATCTTGTTATCTTTGGGATCAGTTCATCACAAGTATTCAATTCAACTAACAAATGTTGCACCCAAAAGAACATATCTATCAATAAACTCCAAGCATTCTACGTAAACCCAAGAATTCAAGATCGATCGATCCCTCTAAACCTTAGCGCTTGGCTTTGGCCACACGGTTCGCTTCTTCGCACGGACATACAGGTTCACCGGCCGAATCAGCTGAAACTCAGGATCATACTCTATAGCCGTATCCCCGTCCTGCGAGAACTCATAGCGGTATACCAGTTCAGGTAGTAGGACCTTCACTTCAGCTAGAGCCAAATTGAAGCCGATGCATCCACGGGGGCCTGTGGCGAACGGTATGTAAGAGCCGGCTGGTATGTTCTTCACTTCGTCTGAGTCCCAGCGGTCGGGGTCGAAGCGTTGAGGATTGGTCCAGATTTTGGGGTTGGTGTGGATCGCGTGGAGTGCAGAAATTATCACTTCATTGGGAGGTAGGCGATAGCCTCCAGGAAGGATAACCTCGGTTTTGGACGTTCGGCCAGGTTGGAAAGAAGGATTGTGCAATCTTTGCGTTTCTTTGATGAAATTTCCTACGAAATGAAGACTGCTGGAAAGCTCAGGAGTCCATTGAGTGTTCTCGTTGATACCCTGTAGAAACCCTAGTGTCAGCATATATCAATCCAGAAATAAACTGAGTTGTAGAGTAGGTATGTTGTGCATTGCAAGGCAATTTACACCTCGGGAATATGAGGGTTAGGACTTTATAACTAGGATAACCTGCCCAAGAATGGAAGGATCAAGAGGGGTCATGGGAGTATACATACGTGGTCAACCAGTTCTTGCAATATACGTTCCTGATTTCCAGGGTATGCTACAACACAGTATAGTAACCATGAAAGTAGCGAAGAGGTTGTCGTAAAGCCAGCACCTGACATTACAACCATGTTCGAGTATACCAAATCGATCGGGAGCTTTTTGCCTTGATTATCCACGGCGCGAAGAAGGTAGTCAAGAACACACTTTGCATCAAGAGCTGCATCGTGAAGTGGAAGATCGCTTCCTATATCCTGTCGGGCAGCGTCTACCTGAACAGCTAAGGCAGCATACATTGCCTTCCTGACGTCGCGTAGCCTCTGAGGATCCCCAAATGGTAAATATGTATACCATTCACCTCTAGATGTGACTTTCTTGTTCAAAGATAACGACAGCGCTATCATCGACACAATCGGATGAATCGGAGACTCAATCTCGTCCATCTGGTGAAAGTCCATGCCTAGAACAATCTTCCCAATGAAACCTGATGCCAGCTTGAGCATGTACTGGTAGACGTTCCAGGACTCGTTTCGCGCATCAAGCTCGTCGAACACTTTGAAGGCATCGCGGACGCAATTCTGCATCAAGGGTGTATAGTGGCGTACGGCTTTGGGGCTCATGCACGGTGGAATCCATTTGTGACCCGCCGCCCAGTTTGCTGTCTCCGTATCACCCAGGAAAAGGGCAGTGTTATCCTTCAGTCCAAACAGTGGGTGGTTTGGGGTGATTTTCTTTGTAAAAAATTGGGATTCGGATAAAGCGATCTGGCCAATCGCAGGGTCGTTGGTAAGATATGTCGTTTTGCCCATGTTGGTAGTCTTGATTACCGGACCATACTTCTTGAACAGTCTGTCATGATTGCCAAGATGATCAGGAAAGACTTCGTAGTAGCTCCCCACTGCTGGGAGACCCTCTGGGCCCTGAATGCGTCTGACTCCATGGCCATCGAGCGTAATACCAACGGGCGCTGAACTGCTAAGAATCTCGCTCAGAGAGTCTAGTGCCTGTTCATGATTCTGAAACCCAAGGTCTAGAGACAGAAAATCAGTATATCTATTCGGCTTCCGTTTGAAACTAGGTAAAGCTCAACACACCTTGCTTCCCCGCAATATGAAAGATTTCTGCGAGCGTCTTTTTCAGGGACTTGAGATCGTCCTTCTCACTGATGAGAATGGCCTTGGCGGTGACGGGCTCATCGCCCACTAGATAGAAACTTTGACTGGACATAGTCGAAATTGGTAATAAATGTGTATTCCTGATGGTATGGAAATCTGGTTGGTACCAGATGGAAGCAGAATGAAATTGGTGCCATCATGAAGAAGTACGCATGAAGTTATATATTTGAGCAACTAAACATAATGATACCAGGTTGGTGCTGAGACGTCTGGATGGATCAAGCGGAGGCCCATCATGGATTGTCGGTTCTCGCGGCTAAAGGGGGGAAACCGAATGGCAAACTTCCTATTCGAGCGGACTTATTTCTGCTCCACAGACCCAGTTTTCGAAACGTGGATTCTCCGTCGCAAGGGATTGCGTTGACACCGGAGAAAAGTACCGGAAATATTTCAAAATAGAACGGAGATATTTCTGACCTACATGGCCCTACCTAAGCATCCAATCATTCTTCATTTGATTCGCCTCGATAAACCCCGCAACCGTTTTATCTCGGAGAATCTACAAGGAAGATGAACGGCATCCACTTGACATGGAAAACGGAAAAGGGGGAAAAGCCCCTGTTTTCATGACCGACATGTAAGTGTCTTGTTCGGATCGTTTGCTTGCGCGGCTGTTTGTTGCCGCCCCTGCTACCAAGAGTCGAGAACCAAAATCGCTCTATTCGCATAGTATGCATATATAGACACGCTCAACATCACGTTTTCTTCTTCAGATTTCTCTCGTCATTCATCATAGCTTGAAATTCCATGTTTTCGAAAACCTCAAAGGGCAATCATTATTCATTTCCAGAAACATTTAAGTCGTTCAAGATGGCAAAAATCTTCACAAAAGAGGAAGTGAAGGCACATAACAAGCCAGATGATCTGTGGATTGTTATACATAATAAGGGTCTGTTCGAATCCTATCTCAGCGGAGGTATAGTTGTGGAGAACGATTTCGCTGACATGTATGATGTAGTGTATAACGTATCAGCGTATCGTGAAGAGCATCCTGGAGGTGCGGAAGTGTTGATAGAACTAGGAGGTATTGATGCTACTGAAGGATTTGAAGACGTCGGTCACTCAGATGACGCAAGAGAGCTTTTGGAGCCTCTTCTCATTGGGGAGCTCCCCGCAAATGTAGGATGCCTTGCTGATAAAGTATACGCCGGGAGACCTGCTAATATTGTAACAGGAGGCCAGTGAGAGCGTCGAGGCCTACCGGCCCACTTTCGAGGTAGTTTCCACCGTTAACGATCTTCGTGAGAATAAAGGGGGTTCGTCAGTGCTGCGCACAGCTACGAAGATGGTCTCTGTAATCATGCTTGGGGCGGGAGCAGCCATATACTACGGAAAGATGCCTAGGAAACTTCCACATCTTTCACTCGATCAAATCAAAGCGCTCTTACCATCCGGTCCATCCCAAACCCCGAATATGCCTGGAGGCTTTTGGAAAGGTTTCGTGGTGGCTGCAGTTATCAATGGCATCACAGCGGTCGTAGGATTGCTTCGCTTGGAGAAAATGCTGGACATCCAGAAGGACTTCCGAAAATACGCTGCCCACAAAGTTGCGATTTCTGAGATACGCGCTCCCAAGAAACCCATCCACGAGCCGGTGCTACACCCTCAAGAATATCGCAAGTTCCCATTAGTTCGCAAGGATACACTGTCGCCAAATGTGTACCGTTTTGTTTTCAGCCTCCCAGGTGCACAAGATGTCCTTGGACTGCCCACAGGCCAGCACGTTGCTATCCGAGCTGAAATCAATGGAAAGATGGTCAGCCGATCATACACGCCAACATCGAATAATTCAGACTTGGGACGCCTCGAATTAGTCGTCAAGGTGTACCCAGGTGGTCTCATTACCAACTACCTCGCCTCGTTGAAGCCACAAGACTTGGTAGAATTCCGCGGGCCTAAAGGGGCTATGAAGTACCACAGAGATCTCTGCAAGAATCTCGGAATGATTGCCGGCGGAACTGGGATTACTCCTATGTACCAGTTAATCCGAGCTATTTGCGAGGACACGGAAGACAATACCAGAATCAGCCTGCTTTACGCCAACCAAACTGAAGCCGACATCCTACTCCGCAAGGAATTAGATGATTTTCAACGCCAATTTCCGCACAAGTTTAATGTCTGGTATGTATTGAACACTGCACCTTCCGGGTGGAAGTACGGACAGGGATTCATTACCAAGGATATAATTCGGGAGAAGCTGGCTGCGGCATCACCTGATACAAAAGTCCACCTTTGCGGCCCGCCACCTATGATCAACGCCATGAAGAAGAATTTGATCGAGCTGGGATTTGATGCTCCAGGTCCTATCAGCAAAGCGAATGATCAGATTTTCATCTTTTAGCGATGTTCTCGTCCAAGGGGGAGTACAAGGAATGAGTATTTGGTGGACTGGATTGCCTTTGTATATTTTCGTGAGTGGCGCCTCGAATGGTGTAGGTAGTTTGGTGTAAATAGGCAAAGTGTATCATAATCATGACGATGGAGAATGATCTATTTTTCTCAGCCCCTGGTGATCTCCTGGTGGACAGTACCATGCTTGTATTAATACAAGTGATTCCTTTGTTAAATATGACTGGACTTGGAAATTCGCCATCTCTGTAAATGCCGCATCGGTCATAGGCATGCACAGAAGACTTTCTGGGTGTCGCCAATCTTGAAAGAGTGTATATCAACTCTCGAGGATCATTGTCAAGTCTGCTACTGTTTGTGATAAACTCGTACTGAAACCATTTACAACGCTTATGGTTTCATTGCAGCTGCTTTTCAGAGACACTATCAGCGCCTTCACCAGATGACCCATCTTTGGCCTATCAGCTGTGCGTCCTCGAGTCATAAGAGTCTTAGCAGCAGTGACCGACGCTTGCAAAAGGGACCAGTAGTGACTCGACAATATCGACAACTGACGTAACCTAAGAAAGGCTTCCACAATGGCCATACTCTTCTCAACAATGACATCAGATATCTGATGCTCATCGTCGTCGTCTTGAGAAGGTTCTGGCAACGTTGACTGGAGAATATGAGCGGCGGAATGGTTTATGTAAATGACGACTGCAAAATATTCGACGTGTTGTTGGACATTCAAACAATTAGCAGTTGAGAGCAAATGCGGTTGCGCTTTGAGAGGAATATCCTCAATCTGCCGCACCAGCCGATAAGCAATCTCGCGAAACAGAGCATTATCGACCTCTTCTGTCAGTAATCGTTGGCGAAAAAAGTCAAGACAGACGTTGCATATGCGGTCGATTACATCTGTAAACGTGTATTTGCTATTTGCATCGATCGGGGGAAGCCGCGCCTTCACTGACAGGGTTCCAGATGGACGACCGTAACATAGGGTTAGGATCGTGTCCTGCCAGACTACAGCCCACCTATAGATTGTTTAGCTTATATACGGCTATTTAAATGCGATTTGCTATGCCTAATAGTAACCAAGACGTTGTGGGACTTGATTGGTCGACGAAAACGCATCAGACGCATCAGAACCTACCAAAGCTTTATTTTCATTATGGCTAGATCATTCTTGGGATTAGCTAGCAATGCCTGCTCTTCGTGGCATCCAATAATCTGTGCCTGGCGAATGGTGAGACCTTTTGTTGGTTTGACACATCAGCCAGAGGACATTGTGACAGACATGAATGCCAACTTTCTCGATACATACCGAGCAGAGACCACGCAATGCCGGGATTCATATCATTGCGCAAGCTGCTTCCAATGTGTAATAAAGCTTGGATTGAGTTGATGGTAGGAGAGGCCAAAAAATTGCCTTGGCGCAGGCATGTGAACGAGATACTTCCTTTTATTTGTGAGCGTTTATCCATTCAGGGAAAGATTTGATGAAGAGAACATACCGAAGACTTTTGAGTTGAGTTCAGCCTCATTTTCCATAGTGCTCAAGCATTGCGCGCCACAGGCAAGAACACCAAACAACAACGCAAACCACGAGGCGTCATGTGGATGCAAAGGATGAGATGGTTCATCGGCGCTTGCTATGATTCGATCTCTGTCATCGAGAAGGACTTGTAGCTCAGCTTCAAATAGGTCTGGATTCACTATTCCGGGGTATATAGGCAGAAGAATATCGGAATACATTTGATAGTATCTAGCATCAAGATGATCAGCAGTTATAGGGGTAAGAGCATCGTGCGAAACTAGTCTCAGATACTCAGCAAATAGCACAGCGAAGATTGTATAACTTACCTCTGAATTTGAACGTTAGACGGCAGGGCAAGGCAAAGTTCCGCGATAGATTTCCGTGGAGAATATAAATCCTGCAATTGGAAGCGGGCCTTCGAGCCGTCACTCATAAGTTGCGACCAAATTCTGTCTAGATGGTCTGGGTCATATATAGACGTTTCTTGGGGAGGCGGCCGATCTACTGTGACATTATTTGAGACTGCGGCCGACGAGTCTGACAGCAACATAGTCGCCGACGTCGATTGATAGGCTTCTACTGAATGAGTGTCCAGTTGTTCTAGCATCACGGGGGATCTCTCGCTTTCCTCGCTCGGATTAGCACGAAAAGCGTTTTGGGTGTCCCAAGACGTGTTGCTTCCGGGGACAGATATCTGAGGTGAATTCGATGGAGACTCAAATGATTGAGGGCGTGACGTTCTATGGTGGTCAGCAGCAGTCTTAATGGAGGCAGAGTTCCAATTGCAATAGCTACTTGAGGCTTACAGCACTGAATGTGGTTCCATGGAACAAAGTCGAGCCTCGCCTCGTAAAGCACAACTGTGACATGGAAGGCCGCCATCGCATTTGATCTTCCGCTGGCGACAAGGATAGCATGCCTTGGGCTGCCTTTTCTTTCGTGGCCTCTTCTGTCTCTCGGCCCGTGGCTCGCTGGGACTGGCAGACATCATCTGCTCAGCACCATCGTCAACAGTTTTTGAGATGCAGCGTAGAACGAGGTATCACGAGATGCCGGGTCTAGCTAGTTATGGAGACCCATGAGTTTCTGCGCAGCGTGTCAGAATTTTCGAATTAGGAGATTGAGATGGCATGGAGAGATACTGTATCTGTAATGCGGTAGGAGAAGACGGGGAGATGATTTCAAAACTATCTTAGCCACGACCCAGCTTCTGATAAGAACCTGCGGTAGGTGAAGATAGGTAGGTACCTAAGTTGAGGTAGTCAAGAAAGAGTTCCGGCAGAAGTTCGGCTCTTCTACTACCCTTATTCCGCAATTCCCAGTCACGTGCCGCCCAATGTCGCCGCTTGCTTCTTGTCGCTTGTCGCTTGTCGCTTAATTCCCTAAGTCACTGTAACCCCCCCCCCCCTCGCCTCTTCTCTCTCTCTCTAATAAGACGACAAAAGAAAATATACTTCCCTATCTCATCGGTCTTCGAACAGAATCACAAGTCACAAGTGACTTTGTTATACACCCAGGGTATGCTGACGGAGAGTACATGCTGATTCGGAACAACCAGCTGAAAATCATTGTTTCTGATATGACAGCTACCGGGCACTGCACCCTCTTCGACGCTGCTCCCGAGTGGGATTCTGGGAGCTATATCAAGTAAAACCTATTCGTTTGAGAGCCTGCTTACCGAAAAATTAAGTCCATTATCATCACGAAGCAGATGCCGTTCCCATGTATACGGATAAACAGGAACTCTAGCTTTCATATTTGAGGCCAAGGCTCTCCCGTCGAAGTTCCTAATCCGAACACAACGAACTGCTTGCTCATTGAGGAAGACCATATTCTACGCCTCAACTGGATGATAAGTGGTAAGACACGCTCGCCCAAGCGAATGACGACCGGGGTTGGGCGTCTGGGTCTGCTCCCCGCAAAAGAGCGAAGCAATATTAGTCCAATCTTTATTTGCAGCATTCCTTGGTACCCGACGCTATTGTGTACCACATCACTTAAAGACACTCAGTATAACTTGCAATTCCGAGCTCTACTCCATGTGTAACGCGGTACCTATTTCGTGAACTACCTCGCAAGAAGAAAGCTATACTTTTCCAGGTTGAAGCTGAAACCCATGTTCATTTGAAATTTCTTCTCGAGCGCTGCAAGCTGAAGTCTCGTGTAAGTCACCACAAGGCTAGGAATAATATATCAAAGAATGGCTTGTAGACTTGGCCAAAAGGATGAAATGAAAAGTTCCAGACGGTTAAGGAATGAAGGTTTTCTGCCCTATTTTGACCCAGTCACCCCTCCCATCAGACTGCTGATAACACAATCCCCTGGCTCAATGTCAAGGCCATTGTGGCCTCTGCCAGCACTCCTAACTACAACTGTGAAACAAAAGATATACAACGTTGAGACTCATTGAACTGCAGGCTCTAGGCACAAGCAACATGCAACTTTCTTGAGGCAAGGGGAACCTTTCAAGATCCGTGGTGGTCGGTTTTGAAAGGACGACGAGTATAGGCTCTGCATCTTTCCTTCATTGAAGGCTGGGGTCTAAACCTTGTTTCCCCTCAAAGCCGCGTCTTGAAGTACTTACTTCAGTAGATTTTGTACTATGGAAACGCGAATGATGTTGATATGGCCAAATTACACTTTGGCCTTATCTCTTATGAATAATAACAAACCAACCAATCAATCAACTTGACTGCACCAGGCTAGAAAACCACTTCTCGGTCGACTGATAAACGGAACCGGGGGGGAATCTTAGTACTTGTGGTGGTTCCGGGTGCAATGATAATAATATGTGTCCTTTCGGCCACGTCGCTGCTAGAAGCCGAGGAGCCTCAAATATAAGGTAAATACAGGCCGCCAACCAAAAATCGCGGCCCACCTTGGTCGCTTTTCTTTCCGGCCTTCGACTCGATATCAGAGCCACCCCGTACTACATCCATCCATCTCCCTTGACTTGACTCCAACACCTTTGCTGCCACTCTCACTTACGGTCTCATCTCTGAACCTATACATTCCTTCTCGAGAACCCATTCCTTTCTCTTCACAACCCCACGTCTATCACCATGGGAGGACTCAGCCCTCAAATGTACCAACACCCTCCCCATTGTCGCACAGCCTGGTATTGACCTGACTCCGCAGAACCAACCTGGTCGTCATCCTTGGGATGATGCAGGTCTCCAAGAGAATCCCGCTTGAGGACCCGCAGATCCTGATGTACGTTCGTTTGGGCTATATTGTCTCGAACGTGATTATTGCCGCCATCTACGCCTACGTGAATTACCAGATCAATAAGAAAAAGGGTATGGTGTCTGCGGGACTCTAGAACAGTTCCATCAAATCTGAGGATCAAGACTGACCAACTTCCGCAGACATGACGACCCTTAAATACGTCCAACCGCCCCAGCTGGGATCCTCGGAAGAACCCAAGCTCATCACAACCACCATCCACAAGTACGATCTCGAACAAGTCAAGGCTCTCTTCAAGGCGCAGATGATGGGTGTAGGAATGATGGCCGTCATGCACTTGTACTTCAAGTACACCAACCCTCTCTTGATCCAGTCTATCATCCCGCTCAAGGGTGCGCTCGAGAGCAACGAGATCAAGATCCACCTTTTTGGCCTGCCAGCGACTGGTGACTTGAAGCGGCCATTCAAGGCGCCTGCAGGATTGATGAGCAATCTCGGAGGAGCCGCTGCATCACCAATACAGGACAAGAGGAGCATTGAGATGGCCGAGAAGGCCGGTCGCGGCGGCGCCAAGGAAGAATAGACAGCTGCTTGAGAGAACGTGTGCAGGTGGGACAGGCTGGCTTTGTATGTTAGGATGGAAAATGGGCTGGGTATCAGTATAGGGGGTGGATAATACATAATCGCCTCCGCTTTTCCTGTACGAAGTAGGTGGTCGCGTGACCCTGATAGATTCCAATTTATCTTTGTCCGCAACATGTTGAATCTGGCCCATATTGAAAGAAAGTAAGGTAATATTGTGCTATGCCAATATCGCTGAAGCCGTCCAGCCTCGTCTCCCTTCTCTCATAACGCCTATGAGAACACAGGCTCCCTTCCAATATCTACATGCCCCCGAACACTGCAAGAAACTATAGGATTATATAACGCCCAGTTACCCCTCGGGCAACGTCCAGACGTGATGCTGAGGTTGTCTCGGAATAGGGGGTGGTAAAGAGGAACGCTCTCCCTACAACGCCCCTCTCCATCATCAGTTCAAACCGACCATTTCAATTCGGAGCTCTCTAGAGAGTGTACAGATCACTGTGTCTCTATGTAAATATATTTACCAGAATACATACTATGTAATGCATCTTCATCCACCGCTATTCAATCCCCCGCCGGGTATGTACTGCGTAAAGCAGCGGCCCAATAAGGGGCGGGCAATCTTTCATCCCTTGGTGCCTTGATGCCTTAGTGCCTTGCACCCGTCGCGTACACAGTACAGATCGTCGGTTGGCCCGAAGAGCTCTCCCAGAAAGGGAACAAACCTCACGTTTTCTTGCACGCCCGAGTCTACGCGGTAACTGGCGCCCCCAGCAAAGAAGCAAACAAAAACACATTATCTCAAGCTGCAACACCCGTCTCCGAAGCTCTTCTACCCATCACAGCGGTCTCGCAAGGCCATGAGCAGTTGAACGCGCGCCTCCGACTGCACTGGTTGGTCTCGGCCTCCTGAAGCCTCTGCGTTGCGCCAAATCCAATAGATGCCCATCGAGCTCCGCGTCATAAGGGAGAAGCTGGCCGTTCTATAAGGGACCGCGAGGTCAACATGGCCTGGCAGTCTTTGTCCGGCGTGGGTGGGGCCGGCAATGGGGGCAGTGGAGGAGAAGCCCAACAGCAGGCAAATCAACCCCAGGGCACGGAATATACTCTGCAAGGTATGCGGCCAGTGCGATATAGCCTAGAATACATGGAGGATGCTGACGGGCTCTAGGTGTGATGCGCTTCCTACAAACTGAATGGCACCGGCACGAACGAGATCGCAACGGTTGGGAAATTGAAAGACAGGAGATGAAGGGGAGGATAGCGAGGTTGGAGGGCAGTACGAGGAAATCGGATAGTTCTAATAAGAGTCTGAAGAAGTATATTACTATGCTGGAGAAGGCCTTGAGGGAGAGGGACGCGCAGGTCAAGGCATTGAAAGCTGGGCGAGATCTTAGCTCCGAGCCAACTAAGGAAGAAGGGAAGGAGATTCTCGCGGGGAAAAATAAGGAGCATCGACGTAGGTTTCTGGCATATCGATTGGTTGTTTCCATGGCTAATAGCTGGTACAGCAGCCCAAGAGAAACGCCACAATTCGTTCTTAGAAGTCGGAGCAGATAGCGATGTGGGGAACTTGGAAGAGGATCCAGACAGAGGGAGTCTAAAGGGCTTCATGGATAAGACTCAAGGCGAACTTACATACCTGATGGTTTCACCGTCGAACCCTTTGCCGCCTAGGGAACATCCATTCGAGGAAATGCTACAGGCCCCAATGTTCGACGTACCGCAGCGGAGTCTTGAGGAGGTCTACCAACAACAAGCAAGACAGAAAAGCAATGTGCGGGAGACAAATCTTGCAAGGCCATCACCATCGCCAAACCACCAACCACCCCCCATACCTTCTACCACGAACCTTGCAGCCCGAAATGTAGATCCGCCTCCAACCCGATCACTTGCGGACCAGCAGCCATTACCTCAAACTTCCCAGTCAGAATGGTCTTCCACATTCCAGATGGCCAGTATGCCCCCTCCAGAAGAGCCAGTCACAAAGGCGAATCCCAACTTTGATACATATGGCCGTCCGATCGAGACCCGCGAAGGAACCACCGAGAAAGCACCCCAGGCGGACGTAGATGGCTGGGATTTCAACGAGGCAGCACAGTTTCCGGATCCGGAGAAGCCCACTCCCCAGAGGCCGGATACCGATTTATTTCCGATTGCTCAAGACCCCCCCAAGTCTCCAGGCCGGACAGCGTCAGGGTCGCATAGGAGAAAAGGTTCTATGTCACGGCGCAAGAGCGGGCCCGAGCATGAACTTTCCTTAAACCAACATCAGAAGACTGATGGGGCTTTGAAGGTGCGGTTCGGTCTAAGGGGCCATTTGGATGTTGTTCGGTCTGTTATATTCAGCGGTGGTGGAAGCCCCGGCGAACCCGAGATTTGTACTGCTGGTGATGATGGAATAATCAAGAGATGGATTATCCCCGCGCGGTACGAAAACCAAGGAGGCATACATGTTAGCGCGAATGATTTGGATATTTCGAGCTACTTTACGCATCGGGGTCATACGGGAGCAGTAATGTGCCTTACCTCCTGGTCTCCGTCTCAGAATTTCTCCAGTGGTGGACGAGCTCAAGGTGACGGCTGGATTTTCTCAGGGGGTCAAGACGGTACGGTAAGAGTATGGGAACGTGGCCGGGTAGACCCAAAGGCAACACTTGATGGCCACACTGATGCCGTGTGGACAGTTTGCGTTCTCCCCGGAACAACAGGGGCAGTCTTTGGGCCAAGCAACGCTTATGGTGGTCCTGATCGCATTATTCTTGCCAGCGGGGCTGCGGATGGAACGGTAAAGGTCTGGTCTGTCAGTGCTCCACCGCAGTTGATGTCGCCTCAAAGTGGTAGCAGTACCAGTAGCAATAACCGGAGAGGTGGTCGCGTTCGAGGAAACTCCATGTCATCCGGATCTGCCTTCCCTTCCTCCCCGCAACCCAGCGTGGCATCAAACTCGCCCTTCCATCACACTTTGATCCATTCGATATCACGAGATAACAGTACCGCTTCACCGACCTGTATCACCCCGCTTTCGGCTTCTGGGGATACTTTCGTGGTGTCTTACTCAGATGCAGCTGTCATTGTGTACGATACCCGAACTGGAGAAGAAGTGGCTTCTATGGCTAGCCTGGAGACGTACAACGGCACAGATGCAACTGGAGTCAACGCAGTTGTGGCAACGACAAACGGCCTCGACGGATCCTTAAGTTTTGATTCTGGGCGAGGATTGTCGGAAGATGAAGGCGTCGTCGGCGGAGCTACGGGCACAATCGGCGGGGTGGAAGGCACCATCATCAGTGGGCATGAGGATCGATATATTCGTTTCTACGACGCGAACAGCGGTACGTTGCAAGACCCAATCCAACCCCTAAATTGGCAGACCATACTGATGTACTCTCAATCTTAGGCCAATGTACATACAATATGCTAGCTCACCCGGCTGCGATCTCAGCACTGTCGCTTTCGCCGGACGGACGTGAGCTCGTTTCAGCCGGGCACGACGCAAGCCTCAGGTTCTGGAGTCTTGAAACGAGAAGCTGCACCCAGGAGATCACCAGCCATCGTCTGATGAGGGGTGAGGGTGTGTGCTCCGTGGTCTGGAGCCAAGATGGGCGATGGGTCGTCAGCGCAGGGGGCGATGGGGTCGTGAAGGTCTTCGCTCGATAGAGAGAGGGATGGATACCTAGACATGGGGATGCAGGGGACGACCGAGGCGCGAAGAAGAATACCCTTCCAGAGATGTATTTCCAGCTTGATTTTGGCATTGCATTGCTCTCCGTCAGCGGGTGAGCACGAGATCTCGACAAGCACGAGGAGGAAGTTAGGATCACTGTAGCTTCGACAACATACTCGTATTTTTTGTTGGGGATTTTGTACAAAATGATACCTACGTTTTCGCAGACTTCTACTTCTTCCGTCGTTCTTCTCGCGACATGTACGCGGCATTTATTTCATATTCGGGTCTTGGTAATGGAGCAGGGACGAGCGCATTCTTGATCCTGTGCACATTCGTCCACCCACGGTACCTAGGACGGAGAAGATGAGTCGTGTGAGTGCAGTCCATTACTGACGTTGAAGCAAGGCTCCCCAATCCTCAAAGGTAGGCCATGACCTATGTATGTGTTTTTCTCTGGCAATCGACAGAAATAAACACCTCGTCCTACCCCGTGAAGGAACGGAGGGCCATGACTCGATTGAATTCTCGAAGTTTAGCATATCCCTCATGATAACAGGGATCGTCAAGCCTCAGTCCAATACGCTACCCTACGCCTCAATACAAGAGTTTCTGTTGGATCCTGTTGGATCCTGTTGGAACTGTTGGAACTGTTGGATATTTAGGCTCTCAGGCACCTATATCCGTATTCAGAGGATATCGCCTCTTCCTGTATATAGATAGCACTCCCCCTGTTTGAGTATATAGAGCAGTTAGCTAGCTATCTTCCTTTCTATTCAATTCAATCCAGTCCTAACCTACTTGAATTCGCCCTATTATTACTGTTATGGCATGTGTATATAACAACGTCTGGTAGCCTGAGCAATCAACAGACTTACACAAAACGATCAAGGGAATTAAAACCTCACAATTACCACCTCTTTTGTGATATAACCTCCCATTTGTTTGACAGACTCTAATAAGCACTGTATGACAGTATGGTTGATTTGTGATTGCTCCCCTGTCCAACATCTATCTGTTGTGCTGTGTAACTTCAAGATGGACTTCTCAGCACCTGCCACGTCGACAGGTCTTCCACGCTCTTACAGCGGCCCTCTCTCAACTTTTCACCTGGTGCTTGACCCTTAACATCAAAGGCTTATTATCAACCACATGCATTCCAGCGTTGACAACACTTGACCTTCAAGATATCAATACAACAAAATGGCAACTCTGCAGTTCATGTGCGCAAACTGGGATATAGACAGTACTGATTGCAAAAAGGTCGGCCGATATACTTGCAAGAATTGTTATCTCGTGCTGGTAGGTGATCCTTTCTCTCTTCCGCAACATAGACCTTTTCTCAACGAGAATCCTTGAAGTACTGCGGGCCGAACTGCCAAAAGTCCCACTGGGCGGTTCACAAAACAGATTGCAAGTCGCCTCTAGGCAAGGAAACATGGGATCCCGACTGGGTTCAGTCCCACTGGGCGGTTCACAAAACAGATTGCAAGTCGCCTCTAGGCAAGGAAACATGGAATCCCGACTGGGTTCTGGAGAACCGAAAACCGGCCTTTGTTAGAGGGGGAATAGGGGCGTCTTCTGGAGGAAAGTGCTTCCTCTGGGGCAACATTCCGGCCCTCGACATTCTTCAACTTGGATTGAACGAGGGTGATGATTATAGAGGGAAGTTGCGCCTCTTGTTTGCCGGTGCGTGCGAGTTGACTTGATCTTATTCTGCGCCCAGACTGATGAGACTTATCACGCTGTAGCTTCCGGCGACATTCGAAATGTTGTCAAGACTATCTCCCAGATTCCCAGCAGTTACAACCAGGCTCCAGCCTATCGGCGTTACAATGAACGACCGTGATCTTAATATTGTGGCACGCAACGCTATTATGCTTCTTATTGCCCTCGTAGTCGACAACATCGACGAGGCAATCGACTGCATAATCCACGTCTGGTACTCGGCTCTTATTCGCAAGTCCGATCTTGACATTCTTCAACAACGGATTTGTCCTCTTATCGAAAGCGTTTGCGAAAAGATCAAAAGCAAAGCATCCAATAGCCTCTTGGGAAAGACCTGGACATTCGGTCAGCGCTCCATGAGGTTTGTGCTACAAAAGTCATCATGGGATAGCCTTTTGTTGTTCATGAACATTCCAGAGGGCTTAACGGCGGAGCGGGCTGGCCAAATTCGCACAGCCGTTACTCTTGCTGAATCTAGGAAAGACTATCGTGATCGACATTTGCTTTTTCAATCTCCCTCCCGTCGAATTGCAATAAATCGGTTCTGGGGAGACGGACTCCTGCTACCGTTTGGGTCTCGACGCTCTGACTTTCGAGAACCAAACCCGTGAGTAACAGACAGCATCAAGCAGGTAAACGAAGCGCGAATCTAACAACTTACAGGACTTTCTTCCAGACTACCGACACCTGGCTGATGCGTGATAATGCCGATCCTCTTGATGGATGGTCTCTGAAGGAAGTTGAAGACAGTTCGAGTGGACCTGCAGCTGCTGATATTTACGGCAAACTCTTTTACTATATTCGCGCAGTGCTGCGAACTTTCCTTCTCCGTCTCTCGGGCTTGCAGGTGTCTTTTCAACTTTTTCATATGGATGCTTCTGACCTGCCCGATCATCTTGAGGGCGGTTCTTTCAGCCGAATCGAGGTAAGGAGGGATGCCAGGCTAGGTCATGTTTAGATGTCCCAATTCTTAGTAGATGCTAATCCACTTTACGTAGGTCTCCAATATTTCGGACGCCGGGTATCTTGGAATACATCGCACAATTGGCTTGATGGTGCCCTTACTTGAGGCACCTCTCATCAACCCACATGCGACGCTCATTACTCTATTTATGAACGCTGTTGAGGAGAACATAACCGAACAAGACCAAATTGCCAACATAACTCCGCAAAGCCCAACGACGAAACGCCTTTACAAGTACCTCCAGCCCAAGAGGATCAATGGAATAATGCCAAATGATCCTGAAATCATCAAGTTTTCAATGGCTCGGGACAGTGTAGAAACCTATGACCACATCTTCGATCGGTAAGCAAAGACCAAACGAATTAGCTCCTCCCTCCTCTACAATCATGTAACCTGGGTTTAACTATGTTATAAGATTCATGAAGAACTCCAGGTTCTCTGAAGTCGCGCAATTCATGGGAGCGGCAATGAAAGAGAAGCACACTGTCATCGAGAAGTGGCCGTTCAGATTGAAGCTCCGACCTGGTCAGCCCGGAGCCCAGGAGGAGTTTGACCGGCTGCTGGGTGGAGGGCCGACAGGAAAGGAGCGCTACGTAGAGTGGAAGAGGATTTCCATGTATGAAGATGAGATTAAAGATAAGTAAAGTTAGTTAGTGAGCAATCTACGGCCGATCTTGACCGGCTACTGAATCCTAGCCGCACAGCTACCGTAGGGCTGTAGAGGCGGCGGTGGTTTTTCTAAAAGTAGCGGGCTCTTTGTAGAGGAGCAGTTATAGCCGAAAGCCGTTTCCGTCGTCAAGTTCTCCACTGGCCGGTGCCGTAAATTCCGTAATACTCTATTAGGGTTGTTACTGGTTTAATTCAAGTTATTCAACGCAGTGTGATCCTTCTAGTTTTGCAACCGCCGTTGTCAAACATCACGAGGACACTTGACTCATCAAGTGTCAGAATCCCAGCCCAAGAGCTCTTCTTCGGGCTTACCAGCATTTTCTTACTCCAAGCGCCCGGCCTTCCGACCAGCATCACGATAGACGTATCAAGCCCCTCCTCGTCAGTTTGGAATGTAACCACTAATTTTCCCCCGCAATTCGTCACTTGTGGAGCGGCGGCAATACCCTTCGCGGAATAAACAGGTTGTCGATTTCCCCAAGTGGCTCCGTCATCTGCAGACACAAATCAGTAGCAGAAAGCAATAGAGGCAAAGACACAACGTACCGGGTGACTCCACTGACTTGATAGACATCGGCCCATCTTGATTGGTCTCGAATACCGCAATCAACTTGCCCTCGAAAGGGGCAAGTCCAAGCATACCATCCCGAGCCACAATTCCAGCACCGGAGATTGTCTTGTCTGCGCTCCAGGTTACTCCACCATCGCGAGAGACTCGTTGAATCGAATCTTGATCGCTGCCACTGAGCTCCCGAGAATAGTAGATTTGCAGAGATCCATCTCTAGCAATTCGGAGGAAAGGCTCCCATAAACCAGTCACCGGGTTCCCATTCTTTGCAGGTTAGAAATGAACATGATCCCAATTCACTCCAGACGAACGAACTTACCTCCTCGACGGTCGAGAGGTACCTCCAATCTGCACCACCGTTATCTGAACCGCATGCAGTTATGCGGAACCATGTATATCTACCGCCCGAGTCCCTGGAATGGTTTCTAAACGCGCATACAATCTTGCCGTTTGGTAGCTGCACGATGAAGGGATTATCGATATCACCGACTCCTCTGGTCACCTGTGATTCCAGTTAGTTGTGTTGTAGCAGCTCCATTTTGCAGAGGTTAAACAAACCTCTCCGACAGGGCTCCAAGTGAGGCCGTTGTCTGTACTGCGGACCACAGCAATGATATTAGTCCCGCCCTGGAACGCAGTATGCACGCCCAGGATTGAACCATCTTGAAGTCTTGTGGCCCGAGGATATGTGCCATGCGCCATCGTATTCAACGAGCTATCGCCACCCGAATCCATGCTGGGAGTTGTTGACGAGGAACCGGGTCTCTTGAACGGATTCTGTATGTTCAGTCGATCCCGCAAATGATGCATTTTCAGAAATTAGACTCCCTTATTTTTACAATTCTTGAGTACAGTTGTTTTTGGCACTGCAGGGAGGAAAGGTACAAAAGATTGCTTTGATCAGATATGATAAGTGTATTGTTGGAGTTTTGGTGTTCAGCTAAGTTATCTGTTCACCTTGAGGTCGCCGCCAAATATACGTCATAGAACCCGCATTTCCCCCTGAATACGTCACGTGCGAGGGGTCTGAACTGCAGCACTGTGAAGTGCCCTGATTACCTGATTCAGGGACTGGTTTGCCCTTTATTTTGCCGTTTTATTTCATTTTTTTTCGTTTTTGTCAAATTGTAATTGTATTGTATTTTCATGCATTCTTTTGCTACTTTGTTGAGTTGCTGATCCCCCCTTACAGTCAAATAATTGATCTCTATTTGCGGCAGATCACAAGTGATGTCGTATATCAAGCATTCGTCCAGAACAATAGCTGCTAGGGACAACCTTCCAGGCTTTACTCTTGCTGTCCCTGAGCCCTGAGCCTCCTATAGTACTGCACAACCCTCGGAACTAGATCTTCCTTCAGACACTCTGAACCTTTCTCCCCAATCTCCTGTACTTCTTCCTGCGTCAGTTCGAATTCAAACACACGCAAATACTCCTCCATCCGCTGCTCCTTCTGACTCGTCGTCACCGCTACAACACCCTGATCAATACACCACCTTAAACAGATCATTCCCTTGCTAACGCTATACTTCTTCGCCAGCATCTCCAGCGTCTCATCTAGCGGGCCGGGAATATTTCTCGTGACGGGGGCAAGAGCACCGTATGCAGAGATAGCAATCTTGCCGTGGTTGCGCGAGAATGGCAGCAGATCTCCGTGGCGCAGATACGGGTGGAATTCGATCTGGTTGATACTGGGATGGATCCGGGCCGTCGCAAGAGTAGCTAGGATGTGTGGTTCCCCATAGTTGGATAGACCGATAGATCGCGCCTTGCCACTTTCCTTGACTGATTCCATGAGTCTCCACGCAGTTTGGAGATCTGCATCTGAGTCGGTCCAGTACGGGGAGTGCAGTAGATATCTAGATGAAGTAATTATTAGCTTCTATTATCCCAAGAGAGACAGGGAAACTGGATTGAGTGAGATAGCAGAAACATACAAATCCACATAATCCAATCGTAACTTTTGCAAACTAATGTCAATCGCCGTCTGCACCTCCATGAAATTACTCGATATCTTGGTCGTGATAAACAGGTCTTCTCGCTTGACTACACCCTCTGCGACGCATTCTTGAATCGCAGCCCCCATTTCAGACTCGGTATTATACATCTCTGCAGTATCAAGGTGACGATACCCTATGCGGATGGCGTTCTTGATTGTGTTGACTGTTGTGCGGTCGAGGTCTAAGGAGGAGCTGCGTTTGAGGAGGGCAGTGCCAGACCCGAATGCGAGCTGGGAATAGATTCATGTCAGCTATGGCTGCAAGTTCCGGCCCCAAAAAAATTGGTAGATAATTGGTAGTTAATGTGGATAAAGGGAGGAAGTAAGTGTTACAACTTACCAGAGGAATTGAGTTCCCATCGTTGAGTGTTAGACTTGACATGATGATGATTCCCTGACTTTCTTCGCTTTAACCCGTTATGAATATCGATGCACTATAGTAGAAACCAAACCTAGCAGCTTTTGAACGGAGGACAAAAGAGTGTTTTTATATCTGGCCGAAGGGTTCATATTTCCCAACAGCACACTCCCCTAAACCTCTGATAAACCGGACAAAACTTGTCGAGTACGGACTTAACCGGCCAGTCGGAGGCAAACGCCTCCGATTCTTTGACGGGTTCAACGACGAATTCTACAGGAACATGTCACCAATTTAACAGTTCCAGCTGGTCTTGATTAACGGAGTGCTGATACGCGGCACCTATCCCTCCTTTTGTTATGTAGTAGCCCCCCCCCCCCCCCCCCCCCCCTCCCTCCTCCTTTAACCGCAACGCCCCCGCCAAAAGCCCAATGCGTCGGCGGTGAACCGAAAGTGTAGGCGGTCAGTAATAGGACTTCACTTTCGCTTGTAAATAGTACTGTAATCCAGGTACCGTCACTGCTAAACGACATCGCCGGCTGTTGCATGGCAGTCGCTAAAGATGTCTTCCTTCTTGGACCCCCTTTCAACCACTTATCCTCCGATACATTGCCTAGGCAGTTCTGCAGATCGAGGATCATTCTTCCAGGAGTTTTTTTGGTATGATATTACAACAATAAACACCAGTACACCCTCCAATGTCAACCTCACTTAGCGTCATGTGACAATGACGCTCCCTAAGATATGTAAAGAAGATTGCAAGATTTGAAGATGCCTGAAAACAAGAGTGTCGAGATGCCATTGTCCAATTTAAAGGGTGACAAGTTGAAGATTCCGGACTCGACTATTGGCACGCATAAGGTTATGACGGGGCAGGAGATTTCAGAAACCGGTGTGTAGTGACATTACTCCTAATCCTTAACGATAGAAATACGAAATGACAATGAAACTGTACAGATAAACATGCCAGCCAACGCCTAGTACGTCAAGGAGACCATCTTTTTCTCCCACTTCGCCTCACGCTTCTTAATGCACTCCTCGTAAATCCATAAACCAACATCTTCCCTCCGAATCGTGTATCCGACCTCCTTATGTTCCTGCTTCTTTTCCGCCTTGCCAGGTACTTCGATTCCAACCCTCAGCTTCTCCAACCCTTTAGGCTCCCCGTCAACGAGCAGACTCGGTCGCACAATGATCCATCTCCTGTCCTTCCCCTCACCCTCTATGATCACATCCTCCATCTTCTTCTTGTCTGCATGCGGCACAGCCAACATCCAGTGATAAAGCGGCAGCATTGCAATAGGAACGTCTCTTCCCCTCTTGCTTATCCCGGTTGTGCTGATAGCCACAAAAGACGGTCCCGCGGGGCTCAACTCCACTTTCCCTTCCTCTTCGAGTTCTTTCAAGCCCTGCAATATTGCGCTCGTGGCCTTCTCACAGATGTGTACGTCATTAGAGGTGAAACCCATTCCTTCTCGATGTAGCGTCATTCCAATTCCAGAGACGATCACATCCACGACGCGGTTATTGTGGACGAGGGTGGATTTGATGGCCGGCAGGTTGCTGATGTCACCTTCAGTGATGTGCAGGAGGGAGGGATATGAGGCGGAGAGAGAGGAGAGTTTCGATGGGCTACGCGCAAGGACGTTGACGCTGTGACCGGCTTTGAGGGCGTTCTTGAGGACGGCGAGACAACAGCCACCTGTTGCTCCGAAGATGGCGATAGTTGGTAGTGATGAAGAGGAAGCCATGGTGGTTCGATGGGGTTTGAGGTAAGCACAATGCTGTTGAGGGAAGAAAGTCGAATGCTTATGAAGAATCTAGACAAACTCGAAGATATTGTTTGTTCTTTAGATTGATAGTCTCAAGAGGTGTATCGATGTCGATGCTGATGGAAACATAGAAGACAATGCCGTGAGATCAACCATATATATACCTTTCCGCCTCAAGATATCGACGGAGGAGAGCCCGCATGGAACCGTGAAGGTGGATGGCCAGTGGAGGGAGAGATCCTCCCGAATGGAGAGAATGATACATTCTTCCGCAACGCAGGGCCAACGTCAGTCATGAGGATGATGTGGCGGAGGCTTTGCGTGAGATTCGGACGAGGATTGTTGGTGTTCTGGAGATGCTGAATGGTCGTGACGTGACAGTTACGGCCGAGCCGCGCGGCGTAATTATAAGCCGTCTCATACATGGTTCTCCCGACGCGTCGGGATTATTGGTTTATCATTGCAGACCGACTTTGATATATTTTAATATCCTAGCAACTCAACACTGCGCCGCCATCTATTTACGTGAATAATTCTGCCTAAATCAACGTGTAGTACTGGGGTATTTGATTTCCTAGAAGGGCAATGGAACTAGCTGTCACTATCGTTATCAGCATCTCTACCATTCTCGCGTTCCTCCCCAGTAGATAAGAAAAACATCTTTAATGGGCTGCTCCGACCTTCTGAACACTCTTCCTTTCGATCAAACAGCTTGCAACCATCGACACCAATATCAACACTCAGCAGCTCTGTATCCCATCCCATATCGCTTTCTTCAGTTTCAACCATGCTGTTCGCATCATCCTCGTCCGCGGAAACCGAAGAGACGAGTGAATGAGGGGTTCTAGAGAGAGATGTATCCGGAGCATCCTGCGGCATCTCAGCTAAATCTGCAGCCCCGTGGCTGTTCAACTGTACCTCTAGTTCGCTTCTAACAGATTCGGCCGTAGCAGCACTCTGCGAGCGGATGAGCTCAAGGCGGGAATTATGACACTCAGAAGGAAAATCGCAGTTGATCCAACAATTCTTCTCTTCCCCAGCCAAGCTGGCAGTCTCACGCTCTACCCTCCGGTGCTTGGCTCTTAAAGTCGCAACCTCTCTCCGCCAAATATGATATCGACTCCAGCCCGAATAATCAAACTCGCTCCTGCAACCACGGACTTGGCGAGGCTGTCTCCGTTTTTTGCGTTCCCTTTTTATCTTCCCGCGTCGGTGGCACTCTTTGCGCTTCATTTCTCCATCCATACTCTGAGTCCCGTCCTCGTTGTCGGAGTTGTCGTCAACGGGGGATGACGGTGGAGTAGGCAGAGAGCAGAAGAAGTGTCCATCTTCGAGACAACGGCGCGTTACCCCTATTCTGTAGACGGATTGACAGAGGTGGCAGCGCCAAACCCAGGGGTAAGGCGTGGGAGGTGCAGTTGATAGGAATTCAGGACTCAACGGCGGGCCAGGGATGAGTGGACGGAGGTGGAGACGGGGTGGTGGGGTAAGTGGAGTACGAGGATTTGTTGGAGATGAAGGACCAGATAAATTCGAGGAGCATAGCGGTTGGAAAGGCGAGAAACCGGAGACCGTGAGCTTGGCTGGTCTGCGGAGGGGCATTTTATCTTTTCAGTTCGTCGATGCGCAAGTTGATAACCTCGGGGTTTATGGCCAAGGTTCGCTGGTTGATTTAACCTCTTGGTGTTTTGTGTTTGCAAGTGGTGCCAATGTTTGCTTCCTGTAGTGGCCTTGAATAATGCCCAGGTTCCTGTGGTGAATTCTACGTCTTGGGAGGGCAATATTCCTTTGTTGGCAGTTGCACACTCGCCTGCGACACTACCTTTATTCCGCCAGACGAGCTAGCAAAAGAAAGAATAAACAAAGGGTGATGAGATTCTAACGATGTGTTTCAAAAAAGATATAACAGAGAAGCTTGGCGAAAGGGGCCGATAATATTATATTGGCTTGCATGGTTATTTGGCGAAGGCTTTATTTGGCGCTGGCCTCTTTGTTGCGAATCTTGTCTTTGAAGGATGATTGAATATAATCTGCTTGGCCACTCGGCAGCCGAAGAATGTCAAATCAAGTCTGGAGAGAACTTTTGGGATATTGTGTAGATATAACGCTGGGACTTGCCTGGAGAATTATGAGATTGTGGAAATAGTATGGGGGAAACGAAATCAAGTATCCTGAATCAGACCGGAGTGCTGTGCGGCGACACTGTTGGAACAATAGGAACATTGTCTCCTGTAGATGTTAGTTGCCAACCCACCATCTCGGCCCACTGCAATAGACCGCCAAGGCTCACGGGACCCAGATCTAAATGTACCTAGAAGCAAAAAGCATATCATTCTCCATTAGTAATACAGTGCATGCCACACTTCAGTCCCATTCCAGACCTGAGCAAGTCCCAGAAGACGTGTAATGTGCCATACCATTCTCATCTCATAACCCCGTAAACCCTTGACCAAACGAAAATCACGAAATCCCCATTCCATACACCGTCTGAAAATTCCAACACAAGAAACCCAAAGCACGATGCCCAAATCTGGATCAAGCGACCCGAGATCTAAGCCTCGATAGCCTTGGCTTTCTTCTTTTGTTCAACCTTCAGCAGGAGAGCGCGATTGATATGAGGTAGGACACCTCCGAAAGCGATGGTCGCGCGGATTAAGGTATCTAATTCTTCGTCTCCGCGGATGGCGAGTTGCAGGTGACGAGGGGTAATGCGCTTGACTTTGAGATCCTTCGCAGCGTTCTATTTATATTGTCAGCGCGTACCAAACAGCAGACAATTGTGTGACTCACTCCTGCAAGCTCGAGAACTTCAGCGGTAAGATATTCGAGTACGGCTGTGACATAGACGGCGGCTTTGGCTCCAACGCGCATCTTGTTTTGGGTGTTGTTCTTTAGGAAACGCTTGACACGACCGCAGGGGAACTGTGAAAATCAAGTGTCAGCAAACGCCGTCGCTCTAACAAAATGCGCAGGCTAGAAAATCAAGATGACAGTAGATCTTCCAGATCTGTTGGTTCTTAGGACTTCGATTCGCGTATGTAAGTGTCGGCTTCGCTGGCATTCGACATCGCGTGAAAAAATTCGAGCGGAACAGACGAGTGGATTTGAAAGCGCTTGATAGTGATGATATTTCTTGCGCATCGCGCCGCGGGTTGGAATTGTCTGCTCGAAGAGTTTTCGTATTGTTGACGGCGCATGACGCGACGTGTGTGGGGTCGAATGCCATGGCCTCCTGGGTCGTTCCTCGACCCCAAAACTCCAACCAACCCAACAGAAGAGGTTTCCGGATGCAGAAATAGAACATGCGCAATACTAACCTGGAGACCGGCCTTGCTCGAGTGACTCTGCTGCTTCTTGCTTCCATCCACGCCGACCTTGCCTCCCGAAGACTTTCCACCCGAGGATTTTCCTTTACCTCCGGCCATGTTGGATCTCTGTCGTTGATGGTTGGCGGCGAGAATGTGATGTCTGGCGTGGCGAGGAGGATGTTGTTCGGATGGACGATGCGGGATGTTGATGTTTGGTGAGGAGGCGCGTTGAAGCGGGAGAGATATCTGCCCACACTAGCGCCGATCACAAGAGGCAGCCCAAGCGAGACGCTGAGGATGATGAATGTAGGAGAGGGGGGAGGAGGAAAGAGGAAAAGGACCACCGCCGTGGATCGTGGAGACAAAGAAAGATGCTCTTTCGAAAGGGAAGAAAGGGGAGATCTTGAATATTGGCAGAATGAGCAAGCAAAGGGGGATGTGGGAGAGAAACAGGAGGTCTTGAGGGGGGGCACACCAGATCTCTTGCTGGCCATGTGCGGGCAGCTTTCACACCAGCCCTCTGAGAGAGACGAGTCACTTACCTGATACCCATCCAGATGCGCTCCCCGCCTCTTTGTAAGTGGTGAGGGATTGAAGCCGTGGGAGGAGACGTATATATCTCCATTATATACAGAGACTTGGGAACGCTGGAGGTTTGTCGCTGCGATCAGGATATCGGCTGAGTCAGCAACCTCAGGCAGAGATCACGTGAAAGGCGCTAACCCATCCTGTCGGCCCTAAGGGAAGGTATGGTTGCCTAAGGCACTACATTTCCTTGAGGTATCCTAACGACACCTCTTGAACAAACAACAAAGCAATGAAGTCTAAGATGTTTGCTGTCTGCTAAGTGGCCAGAACGTTCACCTCTCCAAGAAATTTCCTTTCCTAGCCCACGCAAAAACCACATAGTTCATTTTCACTAGGCCCCCCTCACCTGCTTGGTGGATCGCGACTCGCGAGTGCAAAGGCCTACATTTACCGTTTACACGTCCTGCTAGCAACACGGGGTCCAGGCCTACGCTGCTGGCTTAAGTCGTTTCTGAATCAGGCTATCTGGACTGATTTGCCCACTCGAAAGCTATCGTTGTTTTGATAATTATTCTACATGTACGCCTTCATGCGAAGGACGATACGTTCTAGAGAAGGAAGTCTAATGTCGCACTGCCATCTACTCTTATCCCACCAGAAACTATTACTATTGAGACCCCCATTTATCCTGTTCGTCAACTCCTACTTCCGGAATACAAGCACAGCCCAGCCGAGCAGTCTGTATCCCGCAATGATACCGATGAGGATGCCGACCCAGGTGCCCTTGAGACCAACCTCATACCCGTACTGGTCCAAGATACCAGTTCCTGCAATCTGACACTGAGGCGCGAGCTCGGTCTGGTACATGCAGTTGCAGCCGGTGCCACAGGAGTACGTTTGATGCTGGAATTGATTGACCATCATGCCTTGGAAGACCCATCGCTACGAATTGTTAGTCTTCACGTATCAGAAAGTTAAAAGGGAATTCGAGTGAGAACTGACCTGGTAGTCAATATACGAGAATGCATAGTACCAGAAGACGTTGAGGATATTAGGCGGTACAAGAAAACCTCCGACACTCATCCACAGGCCGTTGGCGAACGCTGTCATTGCAAGTGCAAGAACAAAATTGGGGAACAATGACGACATGAGAACAACCAAGGATTCGGCAGCTATCAAGTCCAGGAACAGCCACATGATCCACGTGAAGAATGCCTCCGCCGTGGGTTGGAAACCCGACAGCCAATATGTTACAACAGAGAATAAGACAGCGATAATGAACAGGTAGGGGAGACCGATAATGAAGTTCGAGATGACAAAAGGTCCTGCGCCATATAGTCCGTTTGCTCGTTCCTTGACAAAGGTAGCACGGTCTTCCAAGAAGGCTGGAACGTAGGCGACTGCCATGAAACTCATGAAAGCACTCCCGAAGAAGATGGCATTGATGAATGGTTGGATATCGGCTTGACCAGAACCGAGTCTTAGCCAAACTGTCCCCATCATGACCGCCAATCCTAAATACATTGCCAGTCGAATAGCATACGCGACGACATCTCTGTAACTCTTGATGAAGGAACGGTGAGTTAGGGCCACGATGAGACCGAAAAAGCCTGCCCCCGCTGCTTTGGATTCAGGCACCTGTTCCCAGGAGGATCTCTGGCCGACATCCTTGATCTCCGTAGCAATCAACTCGGACGTGGCAGAAGATGCCCATGATGCGTGCATGTCGTCAAGTTGTTTTACGGCAGCCTCTTGGTCTTGTGAGAAGTCGACATTCATCAACTCAAGCACAAACTCGGCTGGGTTCGTGTGAGGAGGGATCGGATGGCCCATATCTTCGAAAAAAGGCGCCATTTCAGAAACAGAACCAAAGTAGTGAGGTCGTCCTGCAGAAAGCAAGAGTACCTTGTCGAAGAGCTGGAAGGTAGTTGAAGAGGGTTGATGAATACTCGCGATTACAATCAACTAGCTTTCTCAGTATTGATCGTCTCCTTAAAGGGATGTCAACTTACATCGTTCTGCTGGGCAACGCGCTTAATGAATGAGATCACTTCCAGACTAGCAGCAGAATCAAGTCCACTTGTAGGTTCATCGAGAAACAACAGCTTCGGGCCCGTGACCAATTGACTAGCGACACTGACACGGCGTTTTTGGCCTCCACTGATGCCTTTTCGAATAGGAGTTCCAATAAGAGTATGCTGTTGTTTCCGGAGGCCAAACGAATCAAGCAGGCCATCTATCAGGTTCATGCGCTCGAGTTTAGACAGACTCCTGAATCACCAGATAAGCGGGAATCGGGTCTTTGTTATGGGGACGAGAAGACTTACGATGCATTAGACAACCTTGCGGCGAAGCTCACTGTCTCCCGCACTGTCAAGGAGCCTATGAGAGCATCCTCTTGCTCTACATACGAGCTGATCCGACGGAACTCTTCTCGAGATAGACCGGCGCCATTGACCAGCGTCGTGCCATCAACCTTGGCTCTAGCGGCAGCATCGCGATGGGCCAGCACGTTTAGCAGAGTAGTCTTGCCGCATCCTGATGGGCCCATAAGAGCACATAATTCGCCTGGTCTATGTGAGTACTACGCATCCTACCATTGCAGGACGTCAACATACCAGCCTTGATAATTCCATTGACGTTTTGCAGGATGACTTTGGGCTGCTTCGTCTTGTGGTCTTTGACCGTCACAGTAACATCTTGCCACGCGAAACTGCTGACCGTAGTGTTCTGCAGATGCACATCCACAGCCTTCTTCTCGACATCGCCACCAAACGCATCTTGCAATGAATCGGTCTTGTCCCCGTCGAACACTGTATAGGAAGCGGCCATCTTATGAGAGATACTTGGTGGTGGAGGCTGTCCGCTTGTCAGGGCATGTGGCCCTCGCTTATTCTGTATAAAAGCACAATCTGACGATAGCTTCAATTGATCCACAAGCTTGACACAGACGATCAACGAAATGAACCTTCTACCGCTGGCCGCTGCGAAGGTGAGACGGTGTTGATGTGTGTTTGAAGGGCGTGGCCAAGAGTAGGAAGAGCAAGTGCCGCCATGGATCCTTGTTCCTTATAGAGGACCGCCATATCATGTATCATATATGGATCATTTGGTCTCCGGGCACTGCACGGGGAGACATGTCAGGGAGATCGGCTTCGAGAGGTCCCCGACTGCATGGAGCCCGATCTCTCAGGGATCAGAAGAGATCTATCGACCACGCCAGCGTAATCTGCGTAAGGTTCGCGCCGGGCCTCGCGCTACGGGGACCACTGGGCGAGTCATGACTGTGGAGATGGATATCGGGTTTCTGGGTCTGGAACTTTGGTGCTGCTGGATTTTGTCACGTGCTTATCTAAGCGGTTCGGCATCCTCATCGGCGACCTCGGGTACCTCGGGGGTCGGGTACCTGGGGCACCGGGCACCTCGGGCACCTCAAGTACCCGGTGGCGCGCACCGTCTATAAAGCGAAGACTTCCCGACGCCGGCGACCACTTCTACTGTCAGGTCCCCCGGCCGGCCTGAGCAGTTGTCAATCAATCAATCCCTCCAGCTGTTATCCCATGCCATGGCGAGCGTGGACCCAGAGGCTCTGTCGCCAACACCGGTTGGACTTGCACCCAGCTCCAGCCCCGGCACGAGCAGCACAAACCTTGCCCATCCTCAATCAACAGCGCCTGCAATCCGTAGCGGTAGTTCTGTTGCCCCGATAGCCTGTCTTGCTTGTCGATCGAAACACCTGAAGTGCGATGGGGCCAACCCGTGCGCACGGTGTGCCGCGCACAAGCTGGAGTGCAGTTTTGTTCGGTCACGTCGTGGATATAAGGGACCAAGACGGGTGAAAGCCGCCTCAGGAGCGCCCGACTCGCCCGGTCTGTATGCTGCTGCCATTTCCTCTTTTCTAACATGCTGAGACCAAACAGGGAGACGGTCTCCTCCTCAAGCGAGTCCGTACCGTCCATCCAGCCATCTCAGTCCCGCAGACACGCCAGGCATATCCATTGCTGGGTCGTCTGTAGACATAGATACACTTCTTAGCTTCAGCATGGCCCCTATGAGCAACACGGGTCTCATTCTCCCCTGGGAAACATCGCAGGGCTCCGTAGCCAACGTCAAAGAGCGTTGCCTCGAAGCATTCTTCTACTATGCCCACCCAGCACATCCTTTTCTCCTTCCAAGAGCCTACTTACTCGACCTGTTCAAGACTCGGCCTTTGCCACATCTTGAAGCTGCAATGCGCTATCTCGGGTCCTTCTACGTTCCGTCGGCACCAAGGTCGTTACTCGCTGAAGAGGCGTTACACCTCCTATCCGCATCCTCGTGTCCAAGGGATGGATTCGCTGTACAGGCGAACATGCTGGTGGCTATCGGTCTTGACGGCAACGCAGAGCGAAAACGTGCTTTGGCTTTCTTAACTCAGGCGGGTGATATCGCGCTGGAGATTGGAATGCACCGCAGAGAATTCCCTAGCCTGAATGGCCAGGGATTGCCGGTTAGGGAAGAGAGCTGGCGGAGGACATGGTGGGAGCTCTTTGTTTTGGATGGAATGTTTGCCGGCGTGCACCAGCAGAGTCCTTTTAGGTTAAATGAGGTTGGGTCGACCGTTTTGCTCCCTTGTGAGGAGCGAGACTATGCAGGAGGAGTATGTACTCGCCTTTTTTTTTATCTTGGGTAGTTATTGACTATCTCAGTGTATCCCGGCCCCTCGCTCGCTCGAGGAGTTTGACGATGGCGATTTCTCTGAGGATATCGTATTCTCCTCGTTCGCCTACCGAGTTGCTGCCATTCGAAATCTCGGCAGGGTTCTAAAACTTCAACCAGTTGTGTTCCCTGACGATCCGGTCGTTGCCAACACTGATGCTTACCTGATCAATTGGACGCTGCACCTTCCACCAACGAAGACGCTTGGCATCGAAGACGGGCAGGTGGACGAGATGCTGTTCCAAGCGCATATGATCACCAACGCGTAAGTTCTGCTCTTGGCGATCCATGTATGTTCACTAACTCTAGAGAAGAAGCACCATCCTCCTTCACAGACAACACTCTCAATTAGATACCGCCGTCGCTCGCAATGTTACTTCTTGCGCCCCTCACCGACCTGTTGCCGGAGGACAGACCTACAACGTCCATACCGCCAAGATCATACAAGCTGCGGAAAACATCTCAAGGCTCGTCACCCTGCCCGTGGCATTAGTCAAGCACACGCACCTTTTTACCTGCGTTATCGCACTATCTTCGGTCGTCCACCTGTCACGCTGGGCTGGTTTGATGACTTTCAGTGAAGATGAGACTCTCAAGCAGCTTATTCGCCTCAACACAGGTGCCCTGAAAACAATATCTGGCGTGTGGCCATCTGCGCAGAAAGTGCTGCCGCAGCTGAAGGACGTGGCACGAAATATATTTTCTTCCCAAAAATCAGCTGCTGAAAAAGGATTCTGGGATACTTTCGCGGATGATGAGATGAGGAATCTAGTGGAAGACGAAAATATCAGTGGGTTTCAGCTGACCTAATATGAAAATGCAAGGCGTAGAGGTCTTGGCTTTGTTTTGAGAAAACAGCATTGCCCCGGACGACGGTGGCATACCCATGTCTCCATCTACTGTAGATGATGTTCAGCGGGTATCGTAGTCACAGCTGCTGCCAAGTGGATTACATGGGACACCAATCAATGGTAAGAAGAAACACTCAAGCTCGCTTTACTGTCCCACATCGAGTCTAACAATTTCTAGGGTTTCTTACGATTATACCGACACCTACCAGCTCAAGAGAGATTATGCCAACTCCCTACGTCTCGGAGGTACAATAACATGGGCAGTCGACTTGGATCATCACGCCAAGAGCCAATGGGCTGTTAGCGTATAAGCCTGTCGCGGCCCGTCCCGACGCTTGTTACGTAGAGATTTGTTCTATTGAACGAAGGCTTTACTGTCGTCGTGTCATTTAGAGGCTGGCTGGGACCTAGACGCGAAGGCTGATTTAGAGTAGATTATCCTAACCTCAGGTATGGATGGATCCACAAATGAGCGCAAGCAGCTCGCATGAACAGGCCCACAGATACTATAGGCCTGACCTTCTCCGGAGAGGTTAATTAGTTGTGTAACTTGTGTTATAAAACATTTCACAGATAAATCCAATCCAGGAGGTTTAAATATCTCACAATCCAAAAACAAAGGTGTCACTGCAGAACATGAAGAAGAAAGGTAGTGGAATCTAGCAATTTCTGGTCTGGAAAAATCTAGAGAACCTGCCCGGCATCACGTAGCAGGGTTCGACTCCCTCTGAAGCCGCATTAACACCCGCCTCACGCACCAGCTGCCAGTTCAAAGAACAACCTGTCCCTAATGATGATGCCCGCAATAAGCAACCAGAATGCACATAAGAAAGCGAGCAGTGGCACAGAGAAATCCCGAAAGCCCCTGCTCTCCAGACTCCATGCTCAAAGATGCCAAATGAATAGAGGTGGATCCCTCGTCAAAAGAAAGTCAACCATAAAGCTAATCCGAAAAGTACTTCTAGGCTTTGTCCGCTGCTTGCTCAGGCATCCTCTGAGATCCAGTCACGAACATCACGCTCTCCTTGCTGGACGTCAGTATCGAAGACATCCCGGTTGATATCGAAGAATACTGCGTAATGCATTTCCGTCCTCTCGAGACGCTTGTAGAAGTCTTGTGAAAGCGCCATAGCCGCATCGTCGAATCCTTGTTGGATGATACAGGCCTCAACGTTCTCTGGAAGCCAGAATGCGAATGTTCCACTTCCATACCATCTCTGAGGGCGATTAAGATTGATATCTGCCTTCCATGCTTCATTAGGCTGAAAACCTTCAGCCAATTGCGTTAAAGAATCGGAATGAATGGGTCCGAGCTGGTTCGTCGTACGGATGATGTCGAAGACGACATCGAGAGAGGTGAAGCTGCGGCCGATCATCGTTCCCAACCAGAGTATAGGTGCATCATATTCGACCCAGCGTCTACTGGGCCGTATGCCCCAGTTCTCCTGTACTGAAGACCAGTTGACCCGGAAGCAGCCAAAGACGTACAGCATACGCAGAATCCAAGATAGGCAAGTGCCTTCTGGAGCCCTATAATTCCAATCGACTGGGTGCTCAAGGGCACTTAAAGAGCATACGCCTTGGAGGCATAGCTGCATGAAGACGTCGAAGACAGCTGCTTGCAGCCTACCCCGGATCAACATTCCACGAAGAATGTCTCCTGCCGCAACTTTCCTAGAGTGGTCGTTTCGTGTTATCTCTTCAAAGTGCTCTTCTAACATTTCTGTGTGCTGCCTTCCAAAGCTATTGTGCTCTTCTGCGATCATCGAGGCGGCAAAATCCTGCTTATCCATCAAACCGGCGGCTACAGGATAAGGGCGCTTAAGCATGTCAATGTTTAGCCAACCTCTGCCGCGGGCGCCAAAGCCTCTGCCCGACATGCCGTGATTCGTCGCACGATGATTGTAGATCGATGTGGCTCGGAGTCTGAGCTTTAGTGTGATGGGTCTAGAAGTTGCAAGGATTGAAGTGGCGGTGAAGTTGCAAGGTCAGATGGTTGGCTAAAGAGGAGAGACAGTGCCGTTAAGTAAGGTAGGGTCGATCTAACCATACCGTTTAGCGTGGATTTGCCGAGCGAGTCAGTTTGATTTAGGGTCTACCTAAATCGACGTAGCACTTACCTAAATCGACGTACTTATCCTATTTCGGAATAAGCAAGAGATTTACTCTATATACCTATTATACTCGCGTTACTATAGTAATTTGTATAGTAACACAAGTACACTTAGTAATAGTAAACAATTTATAATATATAAAAAATTTAAAAAATTAAAGCTATTTATAACACTACTTCTCTATAATCTTACTACTATTTTCTACTACTACTAATAACAACTACTACTACTACTACTACCTTTTACCTATTCTACTATATCTATACCTACCTCCTAAGCCTACGGCCTTACCCTTCTACTTACGACTTACCTTAATCCGGATACTATATATACTACTATTTAAGAGTATATAAAGCTTAATAGATATGCCTTAGTTTAATAGGATAAGAAAGATTATAAGGCAGTATTCTGTTGTAATCGTACTAGAAAGTATGATCTAAGGGGCAAGAACCCTAATACCTACCTTATAGGAATTACCTAGTAAGTAACGCTAGTCCTAGGACTGTCGTAAGAAATCCTACTAGTCCTAGGACCGCTTTTTTACACAACTGTAGTACTACTACTATAGGACTGTTGTGTTATACTACTGTTATAATCGATAACGAGTGTATATAATAACAGTAGAAGTTAATAAAACTATTGTACGACTGATTTAAAATATAACAGTAGTAAAGTATAAAGCTATCTTACTTATTCTCTTAGATAATTCCTTATTCTCTTTAGCTAATTTCTTTTTATCCTTTCTTCTTACTTAGTAGTCTTCTTATAATATCAACAACAACGTTATAATTATTTAAATACTAGAATCGATTGATTTACAAGAAATCTACGTAAGGGCGAATGTATTAAGTACGCTAACACGTAAGACTACAATAGCTTAGAAATCAAGTACAGGGTAACTACGTACTACGACTAAGGTAATAGTAGGCGTTAAGGAGTATAAGAATAAAAAGAAAAGAAGGAAAAGGAAGAGGGTTTAGAGATTAGTCTATAGTTAAAGTAGTAATATACTTTTAAATATACTACGACTATCTATTAACTCTTACCTCTTTTACTCTATAGAAATATACCTAATATTCTAATCTCTCTCCTTTACTAAAAGGTTATAGACTATTAGAGTAAGAAGTAATAACATAGATATAATAAATAAACCTTAATAAGATATAGGCCTTTTCTTAAGTAACTCTTTAGAATACCTCTTTATAAGTAGATAGTAGCAAACCTAGTACGACTCTCTAAATATTAATAGAAATCCTTTTCTTAAGTAAGACTAAGTTAAATAAGAGGATTACTTAAGTAAAGGTAAAGTAGTACCTTAAGTAAAAGTAAGACTACTTTATAGTACTTAAGAAAAGAGAGGCTCTCTTAATAAACCTATACGAATTTAATAACCTTCTTAAAGTAGAACAGCTCTTTTAGTAAACTTATATTAAAGAAACAAAAAAGAGCTATTATAATACTTCTTTTATCTTACTAAAAAACAAGATATATACTAGTATTATAACCTTCTTATTTAACTAAGAAACAAAGTTTAATACTTATCTAAAGAGTTATCTAATAGATACTAAATATATTAGCGCTATAGTAGTAGTACTAAAGGATTATATTAAAGAGTACTAGAAGTCTTTTATTTTCTTAGAAAAAGGTAGATTAGTTCTTAATATAACTTAGAGAGAAATAAAGGTATAGCTTCTTTATAGTATTATAGATAAAGGTACCTACTCTCTTAAAGTAGTATTAAAACTCTAAATATTAACTTAAAACTAAAACAAGACCTTTAAGAATTTCTTTTAATAGTATAACTCTCTAGTTATTAAACTTAGCTATACTCTTCTAGAGATATTCTATATCTACCTTCTTATTAATTGTTTAAAGCCTAAGTTAAGGGCCTATATAATAAGTAGTAAGGTCTTAGATACCTTTAAAGTAGTTAAGGTAGTAGCGTTAAAAAGAGAAACTCTTATTTAGACAAGGTAATAAAAAGGCTCTTATAAAGCCCTTTTAATACTATACTATACTAGAAGAGGCTCTTCTTATAATCTAAAGACCTTATCTATACTAGTAAACACGTAAGAAGTATCTAGTAGCTAAACTTTAAATACGTAAAGAGACTCTTTTAGTATTATAAAAACCCTTTTAGTAAGTAAGGTATAAGGTAACTATTACTAATACTAGTAGCCTAGTTATTAAGTAAATTCGTACTTACTATATAAATACTTTATATATAGTTAATCTAAGTATACTTATACTTAGTACCTTAATAAGGCTAGTACTTTAGGTACTAATACTACGCTAGTAGCCTACTACGTTACGCCTAAATAATAAGAAAAAAGGTAACCCTTAATAAGTATTTAAGTAAAGATACGTATTAAGGGTAGCTAGGTAGCTATACTAGCCTTACTAGACTTAAAGGTAAAAGTTAACTTTATCTACTTATAACTATTAGGACAAGAGGTACTATAGTAACTTAATAATTATATTATAGTATCTTTACTATTCTAGAAAATAATAACAAGCTTTAGATTATATAATCTATTTGTTAAGGCCTAAGATAACTACTTAATAGTAAGGTAACATTAAGGTAGATTTGTTATTACTAACATTAAGGACTTAGATGTTATACTTAGATTTCTATAGCTAAAGGCTATAGACCTAATTGTTTTATAAAAGACCTAGACGTTTGTATACCTTACGTTGTCCTTAATAGTCTAGCTATATATAATAAAGAAAGAAATTATTATTATTATTATTATTCTTACTCTCTATACCTACTGTATGTAGAACCTCTATACTACATTAATCACGTGGTAAAACCGTGCTAAAGCCGGGTAAAAACCTACGTACTACCGCTTACGTTTACACTGTTACGGCGCTGCTAGGGCGCCAGGCCCTTATTACTACCCTGCTAGAACTCAACCTTCTAGCCTAGTAATACTAACTATGCCAACCTCCTTGCCTAGTATTACACAGGCTTTGATTCTTCGTATGATTTTCTCTGTCTTATTATCCCTACTACCCTTACTACTCTCTAGCTCCTTACTACAGCTCTTAGTTAGGGTATAAGAGTACTGGCTCCTACTTATAAGTAGGTAGTGTTAGCTCTGTTTAAGTCTAGCACACCTACTATCTGTTACTATAGGCTTACCTATAGTCTACTAGTACTCTAGAGAGTATCTAAAGGTACTAATTTCGATTCTATCGTTTGTTTTTAAGTTTTTAGGGTAGTAAGAGGCGTAGACAATATTTCCCTAAAGTTTTTCCCTTTATTAATAAAGTACTAGTAAACTTATATTAAGAAAGAAATTAAGAAAGTAATAAAAGAAGCTTAATTTGTAATCGTAGTAATAGTATAACTAATTATAGTTAACCTAGAATCCCTAAGTAAGAAGGAACTATAAGAAGAACTATAAGAAGATAGTAAGGCTATAGTAACCTTATCTAGTAAGTACTAATAATTTATAAACGTCTTCTTTAAAGAAGAGGCTAGATTACTACCTATAATTAATAGCCTTACTTATATAATAGACCTTAAAGAAGACGTAGTACTACTATATAGCTAAATCTACTTACTTATAAAGGTTAAGCTAAGTATCTTATACAAATATTTAGATAATACTCTAGTAAAAGAATAGATCTGTCTAAGTAAAAGCCTTACTAGTACTCTAATACTATTTGTTCTAAAGAAAGGAGAGAAGCTATGACTTTATATTAACTACTAGGCGTTAAATAGTATAACTAAAAAGAACTAAGCCCTTATTCTATTAATTAAAGAGATCCTTAATCAGCTATTATAAGCCTATGTCTATACTAAGCTTAACCTATATAAAGCGTACTATTAAGTTTATATTAAGGCTAGTAATAAGTAAAAAACGGCTTTCTAGTACTAATATAGCTACTTTAAATACTATGTTATACCTTTTAGGCTAGTAAACGTACTAGCGACCTTTTAGTCCTTTATTAATAAAGTACTAAAGAATCTTATTAATAATATTTATATTATATATTTTAATAATATCCTTATCTACTTTATAAATAAAGAAGAGTATATATAGTATGTTTACTACGTTCTTAAATGTCTCTAATAACATAACCTCTATACTAACCTCTCTAAGTATAAGTTTAATATAAAGTAAGTAGGTTTTCTAGAATACGTTATTAACTTATAAAGAGTTTATATTAAACTTAAGTATATTTTTATAATCTAAGAATAGCTTATTCTTATAACTATAAAGGACATTTATATCTTTTTAAGGTTTACTAGGTTCTATAAGTACTTTATTAAGAATTATTTAAAGATTACTATACTACTAATAAATCTCTTTTAAAGTAACACTACTAGTACTATTATACTAAGTTCTAAAGCCTTAAAAGCCTTTTATAAGCTACAACTAGTCTTTATAAAGGCCTCTTTCTTACGTTACTATAACTCTAAACTACTTACGTATATAAAAATAGATATATCTGTCTATACTATTAGTACTATCCTTTTATAGCTATAAGAAGGCTACTAGTACCTTATTACGTTTATTTCTAAAAAGCTAAAAAGGCTAGAGCTATACTATAATACCTCTAATACTAAGTTAATAGCTATTATTAAGGCTTTTAGGTTATAAAGGCTGTACTTAGTATATATATAAAGTTTAGTATTAGTTTTAATAGATTACCTAAACTACTATTACCTCTTTATAAAGCTAAAGTTATTATAGTAGTAAGCTAGATAGCTAAAGGAACTTTTTG